TTCCCAAGTGTTAGCTTTATTTTGATACCAAGATTGTAAGGACAGAGTTTGTAATTGCAGAGAAATAATCAATTAAATTTGGGCATTACATTTTCGAGCAGGAAGCTCAGAAACCCCCTTTGTGCTTAAGAGGTTAAATCTCTCTAAGTAGAAATATATGTGTAAAAAAAAAAAAAAAAAACTAAAAACGATTTTCATTTTTTTGTGGTTTATTGCACTTTTTTGCAATTTTTGTGGTTACTATAGACTTAATGCATACATATTATTAAAATTTGAGCTATAACTGTTGTATTAACGTATAGCAACTTGAAATGTTCCCAAAAATGGAACTACAGCATGTAAAAATATAAATATAAGCTCTGGCAGAATATGGTAGATCTTAAAGGGTTAAGTAAAGACTAACAAATCCTTAGACTGTTACTGACTTAATTTTTTCTCTTTTGTCTTTTAGGACCTGAACTTGCCTGTGGTCGGCTCTCAGATTGTCGGTCTGATCCCTCTGAAGGCCCTGCTGGACTCTGCTGACTTTTACATCCAGAGAGACCGACTCTTCATCATCGAAGAGGAGCACAAAGTCCGACTGGTCAGCAGATGACTCTTTTTTTTTTTTTTAAGATATTTTAATAAATTATAGGATCTGATTGTTTGTTTGTTTGTTGTCAGGTGATCAGTAAACTTGGCCTCGACTCCCTCGGTCCGTTTAATCCAAAGGAGAGAATCATAGAGTGAGTATTTACAAACTGTGATGTAGTCAGCTGATTCATTATATACTTTATATCCCGAAAAATATATGAGAACATCGAAGAACATTCAGCCCTTATAATGACAGGATTACATTTTAGTCTGTGAGTAATAAATAAACAGAAAGCAGAAGGACATTATAAATCCTATAAATCTAGAACATTTGTGGAGTGGACTGAGAAAACTGTGAAACCCACCTAATAATCATTGAGGGTTAGTAAGTTGTCTGTGGTACCAGATTTTACATCATGTTTGTGAACTTCTGAACCCTAGCACACCAGTCGGATGCTTCTTTTCCACTGAGATGATGCCAGCATTTGTTGTATTTTGGTGTCTTTTAAGGACCATATTTCAACAAATGTGAGAACCATTTCTTATACAGTGTTAAGGTGGGACAGGTCTTAAAAAGAATCATGGCAGACAGAATCTGTTGGTTGAATCAGTTATTTTTTTTATAGTAGTCCCTCCAGTAGTTACTGATATCAGTGGTTCCATATCAATCATATTTGTATCAGTGATATCTGATATCTTGTATCAATGTCAGTTTGTTCTGCAATGACAATATCAAAAACTGTACGTCTCTCACTTGCAGTGCCGTCACTAGAAAAGAGGTCAGACGTGTGTTATGTGTTTTCATGAGGGTCCTGTTGGGGGCTTTAGAGTTTCTATAGTCAGGTGCTCAGAAATTCCTCTTTGTAGATGGAGCAGTTCATCTGTCTTCATCTGAGGCAAAAATAATAATAATAATAAATTGAAACATGCCAATGAGAGCCTGATCCTTATGGTCCATAGTCCCAGAACTGTGAGGCTGTGGTTCACCTAGTTTGAGGCCAAGCGTCCAAAACAGTAGTTTGCTTGGCCTCAATGAATCAGTTACTGGCCTCAGAGTGAGGTTAAGAACTGCATCTAGACTTGTGGTGCAGATAGAGTTAAGCCTAAAGGTAAAGTATTTGATTTACCAGTTTGATAACCATTTAAACCTGCAAACCATCCAGAAGCATCAGTTCCATTTGAGGGTTTCTGAGCACATTATTAAATTCCGGTTCTTTTGGATTCTTTAGGGCCAAGAAAGACACGGCTCAAAAGTGGTCCTTTTACTTTAAAAATAATCTTTATTTTACATATCCGGGATATCGAGACCTGAACACAAAACACACAACCCCAGGTCTGAAGCACAAACGGCAGCCTAGGTATTTATATACTTGCTCTCTACGTCACACCACACTTTAAGTTTCAATCAAACAGCCTAGTTGGTTTCATTTTCTACTGCAATTACCATGCTTCTGCAAAAGCATGCAGTTTCCTGTCAGCACTTTGGCACAGAGTGTACTCAGAGTTAGGCCTTTCTTATATAAAGCAATATAATCAGCATATAAGCATTTAAGATTATAAATTTAAACCTCAACAACATCCAGCATCAATCCTGTGACAAACCCAGAATATTTTAAAATAAAACAAAAGCTATATATAACATTATTTGTCAGTACTATATAGCAGATGATAAATGATGATGATATCTTGTTAAAGGTAGGTGTGGTGTGTATCACCTGTGCAGGTACATGGTGAAGTCACAGGAGGATGGACAGCTGGTTTCTTTGTCTCTGCGGCAGTTTGTTCAGAGCGTTGGTGCTCGGACAGCTGCTCCCGGAGGAGGATCAGTTTCTGCAGCAGTCGGTGCAATGGTACGAGCTTTTAGGTTCATAACAAAATGATACAATTCTACTTTTAGTTACTTATTTTATTTCGTATCCCTCCTGTAGGGGGCCGCACTGGGTGCCATGGTTGGTCAGATGACGTATGGGAAGAGGCAGTTTGAGAATCTGGACAGTGTGATGAGGAGGCTGATTCCTCCATTTTATCAGGCCATGAATGAATTGCTGGACATGGTGGATGCCGACTCCTCCGCCTTCAACAGCTACATGGTGAGGAAGAAGCTCCAACACCTGCAGAGCCTCAGAAACATCTGCAGGCACCCATAACCATTTCCACTCTTTACTTCTGTCACTGTAACCAGAGTGTGATTATGTTTTGTCTTCATGTCAGATTTGAGTTGATCATATTTGTCTCATGTTGTAGGCAGCACTGAAAATGCCAAAGAAAACTGCAGAGGAAATGAAAAGGTGAATACTCAAGACTTTAAGACCACCAATTACTGCTAATGACTGAATGTCGTCAGGTTACATTATCATCTTTAAAATGTCCTTGTAACTTTCAGAACCACGTTTCCACCTGTGATCATTTTTTAAATAATCAAATATTCACTTTGTTCTTTTTACAGCTGAAAATGTCAAAACTGATTTCATTTCTGTCAGCTGCAGAAACACTTCCTGTTTATTTGTTTGTTGTTCTCATCAGGAGAGAAGCTGCGATGCAGGAAGGACTGAAGCAAGCAGTTGCTGTCCCATTGGCTCTTGCTGAGAGGATCAGCATCCTTTGGCCGTCTCTTAAAGAAATGGTTGTCTACGGAAATTTTAGCTGCAAGTCTGATGCTCAGGTGTGAAAAAACACTCATTTCTACTTGTTCTGCTCAGATTCTCTGAAGGTTATGAAGTGCACCTTCAGCATTATGGTGATATAAACTGAGAGGAACTTTGTCTTTTACTAGTGGTGTGTTAAAACATGAATGCATATTAAATCTTTTAGTCTTTACTCCCACTTTTCTGTCAAACATCGCCTGCAACAGCAAAGCTGTAAATAAACCCACCTGTCATGTTGTATTTCTGGTCTCAGGTAGCAGCTAAAGCTTTAGAAACAGCTGTTTTTGGAGCGTACTACAACGTCACGATCAACCTCAAAGACATCACAGATGAAGCCTTCAGAGCAGCAGTAAGTGTGTCCATGAGGTTCTTCAATGCTGCTATTGATCTGCTCTGCTCGTGAATAACTCGTTTTTTTTGTTTCTGCTGCAGATTCAGAGGAGAGCGTCAGAACTGCTGCATGAAGCCAAAGACAGCAGTGCCGCCATCCTCCATGCTGCAGAGAAAAGAAACTGAATAGACCGAAGAAATAAATACAGTTAAATAAAGCTGCACAAGGAAGATAATCTGACATTAATGTGACTTTAAACACTGAAGAGCTGGATACAATGAATGTATTACAAGGGAAAATCTTCAGAATAAAGAGGTTACTTGAAATGGTAAAAGTTTTTAATTTTTGGTCATTTCTTTCCGTTCATATTCACAGAGCAGAATAACATTTTATTGTAAGATGATTTTCTGTCGGGACAGATTATGTTGCAGTGGACGAACATGGTACTAGAAATACTGGTAAAAATGTTATCGTATGCGATGGCAGACCGTGGGGATGTGGGGAAAGAGGACCCAAACGCCGGACTCCTTAATGAAGACAGTGCATTTATTTACAGTGAAGTAAATAATCACACAACAATAAATCCCTGTGCGCCCCTGACTCCCATGCCGTGTCTTCCTCCCAGTGTCCATGCTCCATGTCCTCGCTTCCTAGTGTCCGTGCATCCTGTGCTCGATGCCCTCTTGTTTCCGCACTCCTCCTGGGAAATCACATAGGCAGACGTTGGACAACCTCAATGTGACAAGCTCACACTCACAGAACTGACGGGAAGTCTCACGCAACAATCCAGCATCGAGGAGAAACCAGGGACAGCAGTACAATGCACACAAGCCATCAAAAAATTTACAAATCCATAGACTGCTCATGAACCCTGCACTCTTAGAAAGGATGTGTTAAAAAATTACACAAAAAATTGTTGTTGTACTATTAACACATTTTGTGCGAATTTTAACACAACATGTGTAAGAAAATGTGTAAACACATAAAAAAATGTGTAAAATACGGAGCCCCGCAGGGGACATGGGAGAAAGAAAAATTAAGACAAACTTTTGCGAGATCTCGCAAAACAAA